TTTACATTAGTTACTATGCAAGGCTACTACATGTACTGATCATCTCGGGTTGTAGATCTATGTCTAGCCTAGGCATACTAGATCTAGAACTGATTTATTTTAGCCCAGAGAGAAAGAGAACGAATAAACGTGTATCTAGATCTAGATCTAGATCTAGACCTAGAATCTAGATTATGTAGTGCACCCAGGAAAGAGTGTGCAGTTCGGAAAGTAGATCTAGATCTAGATTTAGATCTCTATATCTAGATATCTAGATTCTAGATCAGGCTCGCTTCGTGTTTTTTTTCGGCTGAAACTCTTCACTGATCATCAAAATCAGCAAGAAGTAAGTATTATTAGGTGCTTTACTATTAAATTTTAATATTATATTGATGCTAGCATCAATACTTGACCACAAAATCACCAAGAAATGCACTTTATCATACATTGAAACTTCGAATCGAGAGGTTGACCTAAGTTCAACTGTGTCGTATGTTAAGCCTAGGCTAGGCCTGGATTTAGGTGTGCTTCTCTAGATTCTAGATCTAGATTGAGATGCAGAGGGATGTCCCTAGAAAGGCCAAGATTCTAGATCGATCTATATATAATAATCTACATCTGATCTAGAACTAGATTTAAAGTGTGTACCCCAGGATCTACTTGATCAATTCTAAATATCTGGTGTGCAATGTCCGTAGATCTAGATCTACATCACTCTAGGCCTAAGTGACCCTGTAGAATCTAGATCTAGAACTTAGATCTAGATCTAGGTCTAGTAATTTTTACGTATTTCTTATTTAGATCTAGATATCTAGATGTAGATCTAAATTTAGATTCTAGATCTAAACTGAATTAAAATTATATCTAATCTAGATCTAGATCTAGAGATAGATTATCTTGGCTATCTAGAATCTAGAAATAGGGCCTATGAATTATAAAGATCTCGCCTAGATTCACTCCCATCGTTTGTTTACGCTTTCAACGCGCAGCTAGATCTAGCTGGTTACCAAGGGGAGCCAGCTGGAACGAAAAGGAGGCTGTTGTCCCGTCTTGTCTTATTCCGTCTTGGGTGTCACCCTACGTCATGTGCCAAGTGCAGGCCCCTCCCACTTTTGCAGCTGCGCATATAACTCGCTGGACTGGCGATAGTTTACAATTTACATTGGTTACTATGCAAGGCTACTACATGTACTGATCATCTCGGGTTGTAGATCTATGTCTAGCCTAGGCATACTAGATCTAGAACTGATTTATTTTAGCCCAGAGAGAAAGAGAACGAATAAACGTGTATCTAGATCTAGATCTAGATCTAGACCTAGAATCTAGATTATGTAGTGCACCCAGGAAAGAGTGTGCAGTTCGGAAAGTAGATCTAGATCTAGATTTAGATCTCTATATCTAGATATCTAGATTCTAGATCAGGCTCTAGAATCTAGAGATTGGCGAATGACCGAAGGGCGACTCTTGATTTGGCTACTTGCCTGTGAATTGGCGGAGACACACTATCAATACTATCATGCAACTTGATTCATACTGTCATATCAACAGTAGATCTTCTTAAGCTTCTGTGCTTATTTCAATGACATCTTTTTCGGTGCACCTGTACAACTGCGGTTCCGTTAAATGTTTATTTGACGGTCATTGTCTTGTGGGAGTGAATCTAGATTCTAGATCTAGATCTAGATCAAGATCTAGATTCGAGATTTATAGGCCCCTAGATCTAGACCTTTATCTCTAGATTCGAGATAGCCAAGATAATCTATCTCTAACCTAGATCTAGATTTGATATAAATTTAGATCTATAGCCTAATTTTAATTTAGTTTAGATCTAGAATTTTGATGTTGATCTAAATCCAGATCTAGATCTAAATAAGAAACACATAAAAATTACTGCATGGGCACTTAGGCATAGAGTGATTTAGAATCTAGATCTAGATCTAGATCTAAATCTAGATCTACCGACATTGCATACCAGATTAGAATTAGAATTGATCGGCATCTCAATCTAGATATCTAGATCTAGATCTAGACTCTAAGCCTAATGTCCGCCATTGTCCTGCCTGAGCAGCGTCGCTGTATCGTCTGTCTGTTGTCAGCAGAGCTGCGCGATGCGTCAGACGTGCTATTCAACAGTGTTGTAAAAATGGCGCACATGTGTCGCCTCGCTTCGTGTTTATTTTCGGCTGAAACTCTTCACTGATAATTAAAATCAGCAAGAAGTAAGTATTATTAGGTGCTTTACTATTAAATATTGATGCTAGCATCAATACTTGACCACAAAATCACCAAGAAATGCACTTTATCATACATTGAAACTTCGAATCGAGAGGTTGACCTAGTTTCGACTGTGTCGTATGCTAAGCCTAGGCTAGGCTAGGCCTAGATCTAGGTGTGCTTCTCTAGATTCTAGATCTAGATTGAGATGCAGAGGGATGTCCCTAGAAAGGCCAAGATTCTAGATCGATCTATATATAATAATTTACATCTGATCTAGAACTAGATTTAAAGTGTGTACCCCAGAATCTATCTCGACTTGATCAATTCTAAATATCTGGTGTGCAATGTCCGTAGATCTAGATCTACATCACTCTAGGCCTAAGTGACCCTGTAGAATCTAGATCTAGAACTTAGATCTAGATCTAGGTCTAGTAATTTTTACGTATTTCTTATTTAGATCTAGATATCTAGATGTAGATCTAAATTTAGATTCTAGATCTAAACTGAATTAAAATTATATCTAATCTAGATCTAGATCTAAAGATAGATTATAATGGCTATCTAGAATCTAGAAATAGGGCCTATGAATTATAAAGATCTCGCCTAGATTCACTCCCACATGACAATGAATGGCTGTCATGTAAACATTAAACCGGTCCGCAATTGTACAGGTGCACCGAAAAAAAAAGCCATTGAAACAAGCACAGAAGCTTAAATTGATCTACTGTTGATATGATAGTATGAATCAAGTTGCATGATAGTGTGTCTTCGCCAATTCACAGGCAAGTAGCCTCGTCAAGAGTCGCCCTTCGGTCATTCGCCAAACACTAGATCTAGAGCTAGATTTAGATCTATTTTCCGAACTACACACTCTTGGCTGGGTGCACAACAAAATCTAGATTCTAGATCTATTTCTAAATTTCTACACACGTGTATTCATTAATTAATACTTTCTCACTCTCTTTCTTTCTCTCTGGGTTAAAATAAATTAATTCTAGTAGGCCAAGGCAAGACATGCCGCCCGAGATGATCAGTAGCATTGCATTGTAACCAATATAAAGTATTGCCAGTCCAGCGAGTTATACGCGCAGCCGCAAAAGTGTGCGCATGTCCGTCAGTTGCACACATACACACGTCAACCATAGAGTTACCCCCTTTTAAACTGCCTATAGTGTACATCTATGACGTCAACACACAGTGCGGCTGTGCTGACACGCAGACGGCGTGCGCTAGGCGAGCTACAGGTCAGACCTACAGAGCCACTCTGGGATCTGCCTTAGCCACATACGCCAGTTTAAAAAAAAAAAAAAACTGAATGAGTCCCA